GATGTAATTGATAAGGACTGATTTTATTAATTTTTATTATTCATTTATTCACAGGTGCATATATTGTTTTGGTCATTTCTCCCTCTTGGCCCCTCCCCCAACCTCTCCCCCACTCTCCCCCTCACCTCCACCCAGAACCTGTTCTGCCCTTATCTCTAATTTTGTTGAAGACAAGACAGAAGCATAGTAATGAAGACAAAGCATTTTTGCTAGTTAAGGATAGCTATACAGTGTGATTCTTAGCTTTGCTTTCATGTACAAATGTGTTAAACCCAAGTTGATTCATCTAGAACTGATTTTTACACTGGTTCCTGATCCCCTTCTCATGATCACTTCTGTCACTTTAAGGTTTCTCTATTTGTTCCCCTGAAGTGGGGACATCAAACACTTTCATATTTTGGATCTTCTACCTAGCTCCATACCTCATGTATGTGCTCCCCCCTTGTCATGTGTCCCAAGTCCAACAACATTGCTGCATTTGCCGTAGATCTAAAGTCTGCATATGAGGGAGAGCATATGAATTTTGGTCTTCTGACCTGGCCACTAACCTCGCTCAGAATGATGTTCTCCAATTCTGTCCACTTACTTGCAAATAATAATGTCATTCTTCTTCATGGCTGAATAAAATTCCATTGTGTATAAACACCACATTTTCTTGATCCATTCATCAGTAGTGGGGAATCTTGGTTGTTTTCATAACATGGCTATTGTGAATAGTGCTGCAATAAACATTACTGTGCAGATGCCTTTGGAATAACCTGTGTTGCATTCTTTTGGGTATATACCCAGGAGTGGGATTGCTGATATGACAGATCTATGTTTAGATTTTTAAGAAGCCTCCAAATTTTTTTTGCAGAGTGGTTACACCAACTTGCATTCCCACCAGAAGTGTATGAGGGTTCCTTTTTCCCCACATTCTCCCCAACATGTGTTGTTGGTGTTGTTTTTGATGATTGCTATTCTAACAGGGATGAGGTGGAATCTTACTGTTCTTTTGGTTTGCATTTCCTATATGGCTAGAAATAGTGAGCATTTTTTTCATGTGTTTTTTGGCCATTTGAATTTGTTCTTTTGAGAAAGTTCTGTTTAGTTCAGTTTCCCATTTCTAAATTGCTTCATTGATTTTGGGAGAGTTTGGTTTCTTATGTTCCTTGTACCTTGTCTGATGTATAGCTGGCCAATATTTTCCCCCACTGTGTGGGTACTCTCTTCAGTTTAGAGACCATTTCTTTTCTTCTGTAGTTTTTTAATTTTATGAAGTCCCATTTGCACATTCTTTCTCTTAGTTGGTGAGCTGCTGGGGTTCTTTTGAGGTAGTCCTTGCCTGTTCCTATTACTTCCTGAGTAATTTTGGATAAGGATACATGAGCTGCTGAGAAGAATGTATATTGTGCCACAGTTGGATGAAATATTCTGTAGATATCAGGTAGGTCCATTTGATCTATGGTGTGATTTAATTCTAGGATTTTATTATCGATTTTTTTGTTTGGATGACCTATCTATTGGTGATAGAGGGGTATTTAGGTCTCCCACTACCACTCTGTTGGGGTTTATATACATTTTTAGGCCCTTCAGAGTATGTTTGATGAAGTTGGGTGCATTGATGTGGGTGCATATAGGTTGACAATTGTTATTTCCTTTTGGTGTATTTCTTTGTTTATTAGTATAGAGTGTTCTTCTTTATCTTGGTTGATCAATGTAAGTTTTAAGTCTTGTTTGTCCAATATAAGTATTGCTACACTTGCCTGTTTTTGTGGGCCACTTCCTGGGTAAATCTTCTTCCAGACTTTCACTCTCAGCCAGTGCTTGTTTCTGTCAATGAGGTGGGTCTCCTGTAGGCAGCAGATTGTTGGATCTTCTTTTTTAATGCAGTTTGTCAATTGGTGTCTTTTGATGTGGGAATTAAGTCCATTAATGTTCAGTGTTAGTATTGATAGGTATGTGGTGATCCCTGTCATTTAGTTGTCTTTGTTGCTTAAGGGTTTGATTGTGTGCAGCTGAATCAATGTTACTCTCTACTTTCTTGCCTTTTCTTCTCCTGTGGTTTGGTATTGCCAGCACTTTCATGTTTTTTTTTTCGTTTTCACTTTCTGTGTGCAGAATTCTTTGGAGAATCTTTTGTAGTGGTGGCTTGGTGGTCATATATTGTTTTAGCTTCTGCTTATCATGGAAGACTTGTATTACTACATCTAATTTGAATGATAGTTTTGCTGGGTAGAATAATTTAGGATTGAACTTATTTTCATTCAGTGCCCGGAAGACCTCACTCCATGCTTTTCTCGATTTTAACATTTGCATTGATAAATTTGCTATGATTTTCATGGGTTTACATTTGAATGTTATTTGTTTTTTCTCTTACATCCTTCAATATTCTTTCTCTAGTCTCTGTGCTTGTTGCTTTAATGATAATATGTTGTGGGGTAGTTCTTTTTTGGTAAAGTCTGTTTGGTGTTCTGGAGGCTTCCTGTACCTAAATGGTGATAGTGTTCTTTAGATTTGTTATTATTTTGTTGAATATATTATGTATTCCTTTTGTTTGCACCTCTTTTTCTTCAATTCCCATGAGTATCAAGTTTGGTCTTTTGATGGAGTCAGTGAGTTCTTGCATCTTCCTTTCACAGGTTTTGAGTTGTGTGACTAAAAGTTCTTGTTTTTCCTTTAATTACCATTTCATCTTCAAGTTCTGAGATTCTGTCTCCTGTTTGTTCTACTGTGCTGGAATGGCTTTCCATTTTGTTTTGTATTTCTGTTTCATTCTTTTTTCTGAGTTTTCCATATCATGGGACACTTCTTTAATATTCTCAGTTTTTGACTTAACTCATTTCTCTTTCTATTTATAGTGTTCTTTGTTTCATTTTGGTGTTTATTTAGGGCTTCTATGATGACATTTATTTGCTTTGGTGTTTTCTAATATTCTTTATTGTTGCTGTCTTGGAATTTCTTGAGTGCCTCACTGTGTGTTTTGGTTGACCATGTTTAGTAACATCTCTATGAAATTCTCATTGATTACTTGTAGGATTTCTTTTTTTATTATTATTATTCATATGTGCATACAAGGCTTGGGTCATTTCTCCCCCCTGCTCCCACCCCCTCCCTTACCACCCACTCCACCCCCTCCCTCTCCCCACACCCCCTCAATACCCAGCAGAAACTATTTTGCCCTTATTTCTAATTTTGTTGTAGAGAGACTATAAGCAATAATAGGAAGGAACAAGGGTTTTTGCTGGTTGAGATAAGGATAGCTATACAGGGAGTTGACTCACATTAATTTCCTGTGTGTGTGTGTTACCTTCTAGGTTAATTCTTTTTGATCTAACCTTTTCTCTAGTTCCTGGTCCCCTTTTCCTATTGGCCTCAGTTGCTTTTAAGGTATCTGCTTTAGTTTCTCTGCATTAAGGGCAACAAATGCTAGCTAACTTTTTAGGTGTCTTACCTATCCTCCCCTCTCCCTTGTGTGCTCTCACTTTTATCATGTGCTCAAAGTCCAATCCCCTTGTTGTGTTTGCCCTTGATCTAATGTCCACATATGAGGGAGAACATACGATTTTTGGTCTTTTGGGCCAGGCTAACCTCACTCAGAATGATGTTCTCCAATTCCATCCATTTACCAGTGAATGATAACATTTCGTTCTTCATGGCTGCATAAAATTCCATTGTGTATAGATACCACATTTTCTTAATCCATTCGTCAGTGGTGGGGCATCTTGGCTGTTTCCATAACTTGGCTATTGTGAATAGTGCTGCAATAAACATGGATGTGCAGGTGCCTCTGGAGTAACCTGTGTCACAGTCTTTTGGGTATATCCCCAAGAGTGGTATTGCTGGATCAAATGGTAGATCAATGTTTAGCTTTTTATGTAGCCTACAAATTTTTTTGCAGAGTGGTTGCACTAGTTCACATTCCCACAAACAGTGCAAGAGGGTTCCTTTTTCCCTGCATCCTCGCCAACACCTGTTGATGGTGGTTTTGCTAATGATGGCTATTCTAACAGGGGTGAGGTGGAATCTTAGTGTGATTTTAATTTGCATTTCCTTTATTGCTAGAGATGGTGAGCATTTTTTCATCTGTTTTTTGGTCATTTGAATTTCTTCTTTTGAGAAAGTTCTGTTTAGATCACTTGCCCATTTCTTTATTGGTTCATTAGTTTTGGGAGAATTTAGTTTTTTAAGTTCCCTATATATTTTGGTTATCAGTCCTTTGTCTGATGTGTAGCTGGCAAATATTTTCTCCCACTCTATGGGTGTTCTGTTGAGTTTAGAGACCATTTCTTTTGATGAACGAAGCTTTTTAGTTTTATGAGGTCCCATTTATCTATGCTATCTCTTAGTTGCTGTGCTGCTGGGGTTTTGTTGAGAAAGTTCTTACCTATAACCTACTAACTCCAGAGTATTTCCTACTCTTTCCCGTATCAACTTTAGAGTTTGTGGTCTGATATTAACATTTTTTTTCTGTTGTGTTCCTTGACATAGTTTATCTTTGTTTTGTTGGAGTCTGGATTTGGGTATCAGTTTTCTTCATTTCCCTCTGAATCTTGTACTAATTTATTTTTGGGAGGAGAATGGTGCAAATTCTTTTTCATCTTCCTGTATTTCCACTTGGTACCATTTCTGTTCCTGGACTATGTGTAAATTGGTATGATCTGAGTTGCAATAGTAAAACTAACAACAACCAAGAAAGAAGGAGAAAAAAAGAGAAAGAAAAAGAAAGAAAAATACAAAGAAAAGAAAGGGAAAAAATGGTGACCAAAGAAAACAACAGGGGGAGATGTTGGATTATCAAACAGCAAACCAGACAGCCAAACCCATAAATGAAGGCAAAAAAAAAAGCACTGGTTCAGGGACAGTAGAATCATCATCTTTTTCTGGTATTATTCCTTCAGCATCCAGTCCTGTCTGCCTGTGTCTTCTAGGCAGGTTTGGAGCCCTTTGGCAGGTGGCAGGTAGCAGGGGGGCAGGTGGAGGCCTGGTGTGCCTGTAGGCAGAGGCCTGGTGGAGTGGTAATGCAGCAGGCCTGCAAAGTGGGGCCCAGTGAGCCTGTGGGGCATGGGCCTGGCAGAGTGGCTATTGGTGGTTTCCAGAGAAGGGACCTGGTGGGCCTGTGGAGTGGGAGCCAGTGTCAGTGGGGCAGGATCCCAGTGGTTCAGAGATCTGGTCAGCCTGCACAGCAGGGGTCTGGCAGGTCCACAGTTTGGGAGCCTGATGGAGTGAAGGCCAGAGGGCTTGGAGAGCGGGGGCTATGTGGGCCTGTGGGCACAGGTTTATTGGGCATCAGCTGGCTGTTCTTTTAGTAAATCTTGGCATGGAGAAGCCTTCCACAAGCTAGAGGTTCAGAGTGCCAATATTTTGGCTCTCCCTTGTGCTTTACTTTAGCCAAGGGTGTCTCCAGTATCTCAGCAAGGTCCCTGATTCATGGATCTCACACAGTCTGCAACTGTGTCCCAGTCACTATCTTGAAGCTTTAAGGACTGATTTTAATGGGATAAATTTTAATTGGTTAATTGTTAGGCTACTCTTGAAATGTTTATTGAAATTCAAACAAATATTCTTCACAAACATTCTCTGGAAATTCTCATTTGTTTGAAAAGAGGCATGAGAATTTTGTAAAGAGTTGTTGTTAGAATAATAAAACAATCAATTATATAATTTGCCTACCTTTGTTAATGCAGTATTCTATTTAAAACATGCAAAGTTTATGTATCACAGAGAGACTTAAATCCGCGTGTTTAGGTAAACCATTGCAGTCAGGGGCAACATGTTTTCTTTTGCTCTCTATTTAGATGAGGATTATGTTAAATTTGCATAGGATTTTATGCAAACTGATTATGAATACATAAATCATTACTGGTATGAAAATATTGTGAGTAAATCTACCCTCCAGATTCTTGACAGTCTCAGTCTTTGGAGGATAACTGTGTGGTAGAATGGAACCTTGTATGGATAACATTAGTAAAAACTCATAAAAGGTTATTGTTGAATAAGGTGACTAAAACAGAAGTGAATGACACAATGTTCTACAAATATGGGTTTGTCCAAAAGAAATATTTTTGCAGGTATACAGACCTTGCATGTAAAAATTTACTTCTTGGTGTATTAATTTAAAATATACATAAAGTTCTTGGTGTCTGTTTATCTGTTTCCTTTTCCTCACACTACTTTCTCTTTAGCATGTGCCCAAGCAAGGTTAAATCACATAATGTAATCAGTGTCTTAGAATTTGAACTGAAGGTCCTCTCAGAGGAGCAAGAAATCTTTTGTTTCATTAGGGTTCATACACTTTTTTACAGTACCTGGGAATCTGCTCATAATACTGGGCTTCAGTTCTGATTTCCACTTCTATCACAATGTGTAAATGATCCTTTCCAACATGTCCTTGTTTGCTATATGCCTTAATTTCCAACATAGTCAAAATGATGGTTTGTACTTCCAAACTTGTAGGGAGAACTTTGAATTTGTTGGCTGTCTGACCCAGATGTTTCTGTTATCAGTTTGGCATGTTTGGGTGATATGGTTCTTATTATGTCATTTTATGAGCAGTTTCTCACCATCTGTCACCCGTTGGACCTCTGCACACTCATGAACATTCTCCCATGTACATTCTATTTTTGGTGACTTGTGATTTGTCTTCAGATCTCTCAGTGATACAATTCAGCTGTGTTGCAGTTCATGTACATTAAAGGTGCAGGAATTTTCTTCTGTCACCCTACACAACTCCTTGATTTTTATTCATTCAACAACTTTAGCATGAGCATACTGTGCACCAGTCAATCTCATCTTTCAGTTGTTTATGGAAGGAGTTTTGGAATGTTCCCATCTCAGATTTATCACATTCTCCCAGAAACTGTGTGTTGGACTTAATATTTCACTCTGCATTCTCTCCTATGCTAAATCCACTCTTTTAAAGCCTAAGGAATACAGATTTTAAGTACCCTGAGAAGGCTCCACAAAAGATTTGTACATGTTTAAGCTTCCTGGTAATCCATTTAGAATGCACTTTGGAAAATGCAATAAAATGTACATATAGAATTATAAATTTTGGGATGGAGCCAAGATGGCTGCTAGAAAGCGAGCCTCCTATAGTGAAACCTTGGAGAGACGCTGGAGACACACTTTGCAGGCATAATGACTGAGAAGAGGCATAACTTTGACCCCTCCACACCTTCAGCCAGCACAGAGAAACTCCACTTCATTTTAAACGGAGAAACCAGGAGAGCCCCCGGGACGCCAGTCACCAGAGCCCAGACAGCTTGGGAAGACATGAACCAGGTGATCGTCACGGTACACAGTACTCCCACAGACAAGCCTGGGCCAGAGCAGCATAGCCCCCTGGACAGACCAACCTCCACCCGGGAAAAAAAGACTGAGTAATAAGCAACAAGAGCCATAAAGATGCACAGGAAAGAGGGTGGGGCACACTGAAGGATTGGCAGAAGGGAATCCTTCCCAGGAATGTAAATAAACAAGCCTGAATGGCTGGAGAGCCTCTGCACGAGCGGGGGTGCATGCCCAGCAACCAGAAGTGGGAAAGTTTGTGAGAGTGGCGGAGGGAGGAAAACTCCACAGGAGAGGAGGGAAGACCCACTTCCCACATGAACTGTAAACACACATGGCAGCTGGCAGGAGCAGCAGCACCACCCAGTAATCAGAAGCAGGAAAGCTTGTGAAAGTGGCAGTGGGAGGAATACTGCACAGGAGAGGGGGGAAGACCCACCTCCCACATGAACTGTAAATAAGCACGCAGGCCTGACAACACGGGTGCAGTGTCAACTTTCCCAGTGTGCTTGGAAAGGGGAAAGCTTGTAGCAGAGGCTCACACACAGGACGAATCTGAGTAAACAAAGCCTGCAGGGCCAGGTGAGTGCTAAGCTCACCCCTGAGATCTGCATAAATAATGCCTCCAGCAACAGCAGGCTGAGAGCAGTGGGCAGGCAAGCCACAGCTGCAGATACCATTCTCAGAACTGTCTCCAGAGTCTTTTTTTTCTTTGTCTCCCTATCTTTGATGAGAGAACAACCGAATTACACCTGCATGCTGAAAAACTTACTGAAACTGTATTGCATTTGAACTTGGGACAATTGGGGGGGGTTGTGCGTGTGTGTGTAGTTTTGTTGTACTTTATGCGTCCCCTTTGATGAGACAACTACAGAACAAAATCTGAGGCACCATCTTTGGGATTGGAGACTGAGACGGACACCCAAATTATTAAGACTGAAAGTTCATTGCATTTGAACTTGGAGGTTTTCTGGTTTTTTGGTTTTTTGTTTTTTTAAAATTTTCTATTTTTTCATTTTATTTTAATATATTTTTATATATAGATTTTTCTTTCATTTACTTATTTTTAATTTTTATTCTTATCTTTATTTTTTTTTTTTGATTTTCATCCTCTCTCTGTCTCTTAATGTCTGTTCAGCTTACTGTCATTAGTACACTAAAGCTCCCTGTTTATACCTTTGAATCTTTTGTCTGATACCTTGTTCTGTTTTCTCCTTCTTGTGTATTTGTTTTCCCTTTCTTTAACTTCTTGCTTTCCATCTCAGCTCACCTTCCATTCTAAATATTACCATTGTTATTATTACAAGCTAGAAAATACTTAATTGCACACAGTACAGGGACAGTAACAACACCAAGACAATGACGGGAAGACAGAAAAAACAGGGAAACCAGTTTCCCCACAGCAAAAAATTAGTACAGGAACCAGAGGGGAATGAAGAAAACAGTACTCAGAACCAGACTCCAACAAAATGAAGATAAACTATGCCAAAGGACCCAATGAAGCCCACAAGAATAATTTAAAAGAAGACATACTACAGTACTCAATGAGAATTTTATAGAGATGATACTGGATAGGGTCAACCAAAATGTACAGGAGACACTCAAAAATTCCAAGACAACAAAAATAGAGAATTTGAAAAAGCAAAAGAAGAAATAAAGGAAACCATAGAAGCACTGTATAAACACCAAAGTGAAAGAGGAAACATGATGAATAAACAGATAAATGAACTCAGGACAAAAATAGACAACATTATTAAAGAGGAAAAGCCAGGATATGGAAAACCTCAGAAAAAAGAATGAAACAGAACTGCAAAACAAAACAGGAAGGCCAATCCAGCAGAATAGAACAAACAGAAGACAGAATCTCAGAACTTGAAGATGAAATGGTAATTAAAGGAAAAACAGAAGAACTATTAATTAAACAACTCAAGACTGTGAAAAGAAAATGCAAGAACTCACCACTCCATCAAAAGACCAAACTTGAGAATCATGGGCATCGAAGAAGGAGAAGAGGTGCAAGCGAAGGGAATGCAATATATTCAACAAAATAATAGGAAAATTTCCCAAATCTAGAGAAAGATATTCCCATACAGACGCAAGAGGCCTCCAGGACACCAAACAGACCAGATCAAAAGAACTACCAATGACATATCATCATTAAAACAACAAGTTCAGAAACTAAGGAAAGAATATTGAAGGCTGTAAGAGAGAAAAAACAAGTAACATACAAAGGTAAACCCATCAAAATCACAGCAGACTTCTCAACAGAAACATTAAAAGCAAGAAGAGCGGGGTGAGATCTTCCGGGCACTGAATGAAAATAACTTCAACCCAGGATACTCTACCCAGCAAACTATCATTCAAAATAGATGGAGCAATAAAAGTCTTCCATGATAAGCAGAAACTAAAACAATATGTGACCACAAAGCCACCATACAAAAGATTCTCAAGGGATTCTGCACACAGAAAGTGAAACCCAACTTAACCATGAAAAGACAGGCAGCACCAAACCACAGGAAAGAAAAAGCAAGACAGTAGAGAGTAACCTCAACTTAGGTACACACAATCAAACCTTCAAACAACTAAGACAACTAAATGACAGGAATCACCACATACCTATCAGTACTAATTAATGTTAATGGACTTAATTCACCCATCAAAAGGCACCGCTTGATGAAAATGGATTAAAAAGAAGATCCAACAATTTGTTGCTTACAGGAGACCCATCTCACCGACAGAAATAAGCATAGGCTTAGGATGAAAGGCTGGAAGAAGTTTACCAAGCCAATGGCCCCCAAAACAGGCAGGAGTAGCAATACTTATCTCTGACAAAGTAGACTTCAAACCTACATTGATCAAACGAGATAAAGAAGGACATTCCATACTAATAAAAGGGGAAATAGACCAAAAGGAAATAATAATATCAACTGTATGCACCCAATGTCAGCACCCAATTTCATCAAACATACCCTGAAAGACCTAAAAGCATATATTAACCCAACACAGGGTTGTGGGAGACTTTAACACCCATTATCATCAATAGATAGGTCATCCAAACAAAAAATCAATAAAGAAATCCAAGATCTAAAATATGCAATAGATCAAATGGACCTAGTTATGTCTACAGAACATTTCATCCAACTTCTACACAATATACATTCTTCTCAGCAGCCCATGGAACCTTCTCCAAAATAGATCATATCCTAGGGCACAAAGCAAGTCTCAGCAAAAATAAGAAAATAGAAATTATACCGTGCATACTATCTGATCACAATGCAGTGAAAGTAGAACTCAACAACAAAAGTAAAGACAAAAAACATGCAAACAGCTGGAAACTAAATAACTCATTACTTAATGAAGAATGGATCATCGATGAAATAAAAGAGGAAATTAAAAAGTTCCTGGAAGTCAATGAAAATGAAAACACAACCTACCGGAACCTACGGGACACAGCTAAGGCAGTCCTGAGAAGAAAGTTTATAGCCATGAGTGCATATATTAAAAAGACTGAAAGATCCCAAATCAATGACCTAATGATACATCTCAAACTCCTAGAAAAACAAGAACAAGCAAATCCCAAAACAAATAGAAGAGAGAAATAATAAAAAATAAGCTGAAATCAACGAAATAGAAACCAAAAAAACCATACAAAGAATTAATGAAACAAAAAGTTGGTTCTTTGAAAAAATAAACAAGATCGATAGACCCCTGGCAAACCTGACTAAAATGAGGAGAGAAAAAACCCAAATTAGTAAGAATCAGGAATGAAAAAGAGGAGATAACAAAACACCATGGAAGTCCAGGAAATCATCAGAGACTACTTTGAGAACCTATTTTCAAATAAATTTGAAAATCTGAAAGAAATAGACAGATTTCTAGATACTTATGATCATCCAAAACTGAACCAAGAGGAAATTAATCACCTGAATAGATCTATAAACAAAATGAAATTGAAGCAGCAATCAAGAGTCTCCCCAAAAAGAAAAGTCCAGGACCTGATGGATTCTCTGCTGAATTCTATCAGACCTTTAAAGAAGGACTGATACCAACCCTCCTTAAACTGTTCCACGAAATAGAAAGGGAAGGAAAACTGCCAAACACATTTTATGAAGCCAGTATTACACTTATCCCAAAACCAGGCAAAGACACCTCCAAAAAGGAGAACTATAGGCCAATCTCCTTAATGAACATTGATGCAAAAATCCTCAACAAAATAATGGCAAACCGAATTCAACAACACATCAAAAAGATTATTCACCACGACCAAGTAGGCTTCATCCCAGGGATGCAGGGGTGGTTCAACATACGAAAATCAATAAACGTAATAAACCACATTAACAGAAGCAAAGACAAAAACCACTTGATCATCTCAATAGATGCAGAAAAAGCCTTTGATAAGATCCAACACCACTTCATGATGAAAGCTCTAAGAAAACTAGGAATAGAAGGAATGTACCTCAACATTATAAAAGCTATATATGACAAACCTATAGCCAGCATTATACTTAATGGAGAAAAACTGAAAACCATTCCCTCTAAAATCAGGAACCAGACAAGGATGCCCACTATCTCCACTCTTATTCAACATAGTACTGGAATTCCTAGCCAGAGCAATTAGGCAAGAAGAAGGAACAAAAGGAATACAAATAGGTAAAGAAACTGTCAAAATATCCCTATTTGCAGATGACATGATCCTATACCTTAAAGACCCAAAAAACTCTACTCAGAAGCTTCTAGACATCATCAATAGCTATAGCAAGGTAGCAGGATATAAAATCAACATAGAAAAATCATTAGCATTTCTATACACTAACAATGAGCAAACTGAAAAAGAATGTATGAAAACAATTCCATTTACAATAGCCTCAAAAATATCAAATACCTAGGTATAAACCTAAAAAAAGATGTGAAACACCGTACAAGGAAATCTATACACTTCTGAAGAAAGAGATTGAGGAAGACTATAGAACGTGGAGAGATCTACCAAGCTCATGGATTGATAGAAT